AATTCTTCCAGGTAATTTAGAATTCTTCTACTGCCTCATAACCTTCATATATGACCTGAATAGATAATCCCAATGAATAGGAGTAACATAATGAGTCAACACAACTCTAAACCTAAATCACTGATTCAACTTTTTTGGCACGAAGAGATACTCCCCCATACCTTCTAACCCTATGCCCTTCATGTTTGAAGAAATGCAAAAAACTTTTGTGCTCTCTTTTAAGAAAAATGCAGATACACAACACTTTACATTAAAATTTTAAGGTCATTCACAGACCAGACCCCTTTGCTAAATAATCTAAAATCTGGCCCATGCTTATTCCATTTTCACCATTAGCTGCCCCCAATTTCACATTCCAACCACACCGAGCTCACTCCTACCTCTGTACTTTTGTTCATACTTACTACGTAGTATAAAGCAAAATACTTTCAGTTTCCTGACTTTCTTATTGTTTAGTGTGAAGTGCACAATACCTATCTCATTAGTATTACTGTTATACACTACAAAATATAAGGCACTTAGGGCACTACCTGGCTCGTGGCAAGAAGTCAACATTGAATGAAAATGTCAAAAGCAAGGGATACACATGAGTTAAATTCTAATTCCTCTAAATATCCACATTATTGGATTTGGATTATTTAGGAATTCTCATTTTAAATCTAAAACTCATATACAAATAAACTATGTTTATTAGGGTTCTATTGAACTAAAATATATAGTTAAAGGGCAAAAGATTTTAGTGACTAATATCTCCTCACAGTAAAGACAATTTAAGAGAACAGAAGTCTCATAAGAACTTGCTCTAATATTTCTAGCACTATGACTTATTAAGGATATCACAAATCAACCCACACTAAATTCTCTGAATTAGAGTTAGATTATTAATTTACTGTGGTTGTAACCTAGATCTCAGCCAATTCACTCTCCCTTCAGGAGTAGTCTGCATTCTACATAAAAGACAAACTACTATATATGCCTAAGCAGGTGTCAGCTACAATTTTCAGCATTAGAAGAGTTACCCATTTGAAATAAGATACAACCTCTACTAAAGACAACAAAATTGAAAGACAAAATTGAATATCATATCTTCATCAACTACTAAAACTCCATCTCCTACAAATACTTTCTCTTCCTTAATTAAATCTGGCAGGGCACAATGTACAGAGGGGGAGGATTGGGAACAGTCTTAAAGAAAAACTAACCAAACAAATGGAGATTCTACTCTGTAGTACTTCTCCCAGATATAGAGTAAGTCATGTTCCACACCGGACAAAGAAATGAGATGATAATGGGATAATTCAGACACTAGCTAAACAATACGACCCCTCTATCCTATCTCTTGTGGAAGAATCTCTGGAAATGCCAAGATCAGATAGCTATTCCCTAAATCCATTTTTTTTTTTTCTGGACATCTGGTTAGACTATGTTTTCTAGTCCCTTTTGCCATATAGCTATGTGACTAAGTTCTAGCTAAAGGAATCAGAATAGACATGGATAGACAACACTTCAGCCTGGCTCATAAGCCTCCCATGGGGACCTGCCACACTCTTCCTCCCGTGGCACAGCAACATTGGGAGCTATGTTTAGAAGATGGCAGAGCCACATGATGGAAGGAGTAACCACTTGGAGGACAGCCACCTGCCAGCTAGGAACATCTATTTCAGACTTCACAAGAATAAGAAACTTACATTGTGTTGATCCACTGAGATTGGGGGTTTATCTGTTATAATGATTATTAGTTTACCTTAAGTTATACATTTCCACATTTCATATTCAATGCAAGGACTGAAAAGGTCACATAAGAAACCTCTCTGTATCACGAATTAAAAGAAAAAGAAGAGAAAAAGAAATACACTATCCTAATCTATTCTTTCCAGTGATTACTCAGAGGTCTACAGTTTCAACTTAAGTCTAGAATTTAAATCCAAACTTCAACATTTATTAGCCACATAAGCTTTGGGCAAGTTAGTTAACTTATGACACTTCTTATACTCTACTAATGAAAATAAAATCACCTACCTCCAGAATATTTGTGAGAATATAAACAAAATAACGTTATTAGCTTGGAACAAAAAAAGTGCTGAGATGGCAGTATTATAAAATAAAAATTACTAATGTATAGATTGCTTTTTCTCTATATAGCTTTCTCCCAGACTCTCTGGCTCCTAGGTTTCTCTTCTCTTCCTGCATTTTCTGAAGAGAAAAGGATAGAATATGAATGGGAAATGCAATCATCGAAAAAGAATCATCAGTCAAAAGGCCACACTCAAAGATCCAGAAGGCCACATGTGGCCCCAAGGCTGCAGGTTCCTCATCCCTGGAACACATTCAAGGTAAGCAAGCTGCACGGGGCTGAGCAAAGAAGAGACTGAGTAACCAAGGTGGCAGGGATAGGATACAGTTAGTGAGAGAGAGTTCAATACTAAAGCACAGGTGACTTTAATAAGCAAGACAGCTGACATTGTAATCTAAACCATACTTATTCAAATTCAACATCAACACAGGACTCAACTATAGGGTGTATGTGGGAGGCAGTGAATGCTCTAAAAGCTGCCTCTAGTATAAGCACTATTTTTTGATAATTCTTCATTACAACCTAGTCAGTGACTGATCCTTCAACTGTGTGACCTCTATAGACAGGTCAGAACCCCTCTCCCTCATATATTTAAAAGCTGACCTTCCCTTGTGAAGCAGCACAAGCAAGACAGTGAAAAAGGCACTGGTTTTACAGTCAAGCATACTGTGCTTTTTTCCCAGTGCTGACAGTTACTAGTTGTGTGACTTTCACCAAAATATTTATTATTCTTGCTAACCTTCAACTTCTTCCTTTATAAAATGGGGATACTACTACTTTCTTTCAGGATTTCTATAAAGATTAATGTATAAAAAGTACCTAGCACAATACAAAGTAGCAGGGGCTAAATAACCAACAGCTTGTGTTATAATGCATGAAATATAAATTTACAGTATCACAGGAGTTCAGAAGATAAAGTAATCTTATTATTTTATCTGTTCTATTTCCCTCATTATGCAGATAAGTAAATTTATAAATGGTGGCAAAGCTAGTTAATGGTTTAGCCAGATTTCTTAACTCCCAGGCTAGTATTCTTTTCAATTATACCACTTTGCCCATTTTTATGGATAAGAATACTGGGTAAAGAAAAGGGAAACCATCTGGGAAATTATTTCTAATTCTCATTCTAGTTTTCAACAAGTAGTATATGATGTTCAGTAGGAAAGACGCTATCATGATAAATAAAAGCTGTTAATTTTA